TGAGGGACTGAACACCTTCCATCAAGGCTGAGGGACTGAACACCTTCCATCAAGGCTGAGGGACTGAACACCTTCCATCAAGGCTGAGGGACTCAACATCTTAAATTTACCTCACCACTTCTACTGGCTCAGGTATAAGAGTCGTCTTTGTATTAGATCGGAAAAGCCTGTCAAGTCCCGGAACGTGTGAACGGTGTTACTTGCATAATACACTTATATAAACATTCCCAATTAATTATAGTAAGGCCTTCTCGCTAGCCGTGGTGTCACGTCACCCCGTGAATTAGCCTACTCAAAAGTAACTCAGGTCAGATTACTGACAGTGATAAGGAAAAGTGTAAAATTTTTAACTCTTATTTCCTCTCAGTTTTTACGTAGGAAGATACTAGCGCAATTCCAGAAATTATAAATTATGTAGAACAGGAAGATAATAAACTAAGCACGATTAGGGTAACTAGTGACAAGGTCCTCAGACAAATAGAGAAATTAAAACCGAACAGATCCCCAGGCCCTGATAAACTGTTTGCAAGGGTTTTAAAGGAATGTAAAGGGGAACTTAGCAAACCTTTGGCTAGTCTTTTCAGTATATCACTACAAACTGGCATAGTTCCAGACAAGTGGAAAATGGCAAATGTAATACTTATTTACAAAGCAGGAGACAAGTCCTTAGCTTCGAACTATAGACCAATAAGCCTTACCTCTATAGTGGGAAAATTTATGAATCAATAATTGCCGAGACAATTCGTAACCATCTTGAAAGGCATAAATTGATTAATGAATCTCAGCATGGTTTTAAAAAGGGGCGTTCCTATCTTACGAATTTACTAACAATTTTCATCAAGGTATTTGAGGAGGTAGATCATGGAAATGAATATGATATTGTGTATATGGACTTCAGTAAGGCTGTTGATAGAGTTCCACATCAGAGGTTACTGAGAAAAATTAAGGCACACGGAAAAGGAGAAACTATTTCCTGGGTAGAAGCATGGTTGACAGATAGGCAGCAGAGAGTTTGCATCAATGGGGAGAAATCAGATTGGGGGCGCATCACGAGTGGTGTTCCACAGGGATCAGTGTTGGGCCCTTTGTTCACAATTTATATGACATTGATGAGGGATTAAACAGCGACATAAGCAAGTTTGCTGATGACACTAAAATAGGTCGCATAAGTCATTCCAATGAGGACATTAGAGCACTCCAGGAAGATTTAACTAGACTGATGCAGTGGTCAGAGAAGTGGCAGATGCAGTTTAATATAGACGAATGCAAAGTTCTAAACATTGGACATGAAAATAACCATGCCACATATAAACTAAATAATGTAGATCTTAATATTACTGATTGCGAAAGGGATTTGGGAGTTCTGGTTAGCAGTAATCTAAAACCAAGACAACAGCACATAAGTGTTCTCAATAAAGCGAACAGAATCCTTGTCTTCATATCAAGGAGCATAAATAATAGGAGTCCTCAGGCTCTTCTTCAACTCTGTATATCCTTGGTTAGGCCTCATTTAGATTATGCTGCACAGTTCTGGTCACCGTATTACAGAATGGATATAAATGCACTGGAAAGCGTACAAAGGAGGTTGACAAAGTTGATCCCATGTATCAAAAATCTTCCCTATGAGGATAGACTGAGGGCCCTGAATCTGCACTCTCTGGAAAGGCGTAGAATTAGGGGTGACATGACTGAGGTGTATAAAAGGAAAACAGGAATAAAGGGAATATAAATAGCGTGCTAAAAATATCTAGCCAAGACAGGACTCGCAGCAATGTTTTTAAGTTGGAAAAATTCAGATTAAGGAAGGATATAGGAAAGCACTGGTTTGGTAACAGAATTGTGGATGAGTGGAACAAACTCCTGAGTACCGTCATAGAAGCTAAAGACGTTGTGTAGTTTTAAAAATAGGTTAGATAAATACATGAGTGGGTGCGGGTGTGGGTGGATACGTGCCCCTTCCTTAAGTGGATGTGACCTGACCTGACTAGGTGGGTCAGTGGTTGAAGCCGGGAGGTGACTTGGACCTGCCTTGCATGAACCAGTAGGCCTGCTGCAGTGTTTCTTCTTTCTTATGTTCTTATGTGAACCTGCGAGTCAGCCTAGAGGCCTCTGTCTCATTCCTTGGCGAGGCACAGAAGACGGTAGAAAGGCAAGCCTGGGACCTGTCTCAAGTATCTGTAACATACGCCTCCATAACTACCTACGAGTGTTTTCCATTCCTCCAAATACCCTCTACGAACCCCACAACAAACGGCTGAGGCTTTGAACCCAGGTTGGCGAGTCTTAAAATTCACAGGCCAGCGCGCAGGCTTGCTGCGCGGGCGAAACGTCTCATCAGTAAAGGTACCCAGGTGTTGCACACGAGTCTTTGGGTTCTCGCTGGGAAAGTAACCCCTGCCTCTTCATTTAATTTATATCTCTTGATTCCCTCTAATTCTCATACTTGCCTCTTCACCTACTTGGTTCATTTGTTCATTAAATGATACTGAAGCAAGTGTCATCATGTCAGTGGATCATCTGGGTGTTCAATCTGTGAGTGTGTCTGTCCCCATGTCAGGTAGATTCTGCTTACTCAGTGGACAAATGGGAAACAGAGGCAACGGGTGTAAGGAGTCGTGCTCTTAATATCATTCAAGAACCTGTTGGTTATGTGCCGACTGTGTTTACTACTTAGCTACAGGTGCGTGTTTTAGAAATACTACCTTGTGTGTGTGTGTGTGTGTGTGTGTGTGTGTGTGTGTGTGTACATACATACATACATGTATGCATGCACGTTTGCTGCACGCAAGCCGACGTACGAACTACAGTCCGGCTAGTCAGGTACTATATCAACAAAAGTTAATTTCTGCAGCACAGTGCCGGCCTCCTCCGGCAAGCTGACAAAACAAAAAGCAAACAATTTTATCCAAAAACCTGAGTCATAACCAGCGCACGTGGAGACGCGCGCACCTCTGACATAACACAGACCTGCTGGGTAACACCTCACTGACACACAAAACAATCCACACCGACATAACACAGACCTGCTGGGTAACACCTCACTGACACAAAACAATCCACACCGACATAACACAGACCTGCTGGGTAACACCTCACTGACACACAAAACAATCCACACCGACATAACACAGACCTGCTGGGTAACACCTCACTGACACACAAAACAATCCACACCGACATAACACAGACCTGCTGGGTAACACCTCACTGACACACAAAACAATCCACACCGACATAACACAGACCTGCTGGGTAACACCTCACTGACACACAAAACAATCCACACCGACATAACACAGACCTGCTGGGTAACACCTCACTGACACAAAGCAATCCACACCGACATAACACAGACCTGCTGGGTAACACCTCACTGACACACAAAACAATCCACACCGACATAACACAGACCTGCTGGGTAACACCTCACTGACACACAAAACAATCCACACCGACATAACACAGACCTGCTGGGTAACACCTCACTGACACAAAACAATCCACACCGACATAACACAGACCTGCTGGGTAACACCTCACTGACACACAAAACAATCCACACCGACATAACACAGACCTGCTGGGTAACACCTCACTGACACACAAAACAATCCACACCGACATAACACAGACCTGCTGGGTAACACCTCACTGACACACAAAACAATCCACACCGACATAACACAGACCTGCTGGGTAACACCTCACTGACACACAAAACAATCCACACCGACATAACAGAGACCTGCTGGGTAACACCTCACTGACACACAAAACAATCCACACCGACATAACACAGACCTGCTGGGTAACACCTCACTGACACACAAAACAATCCACACCGACATAACACAGACCTGCTGGGTAACACCTCACTGACACACAAAACAATCCACACCGACATAACAGAGACCTGCTGGGTAACACCTCACTGACACACAAAACAATCCACACCGACATAACACAGACCTGCTGGGTAACACCTCACTGACACACAAAACAATCCACACCGACATAACAGAGACCTGCTAAGTAACACCTCACTGACAGTCCAGTCACTCCAGCCATGGGCTTAATTGAGACTCAGGCAGGATAAACTTTCACAAAGTACACCCTCTTCCCTAAAGTGTATATAAAGTGTACCCTCGACCATTGGATTACCCTGAACACGCAGCTCGCACCTGTTTCACACATTATTACACATCATCAAACAGTAGGGTTTGATTTTAATAAGACCGGCCAAGTGTGAGCCAGTAGACTACCGCAGTGCTTTTTTCGTGCCTACCCGACGTGCTGCATATATAAGACCTCCTTGACACCTTATTCATTATCGCCTGTGGAGGGTCTAAAGTTAGACCGAAAATGTTAGCGTTTTTCTGTATTTTTGAACGTGGAATATTCGCAGATATAACCCATATGGTCGTATGATTCACTCATTATTATTATATTATTATATTATTATTATTATTTCATGAGTAAGTGGTAAGAACCGAGGCGTCATGCAGTGCCTGGAAAATAGGAAGTATTTAAGTTCAATCCAAGGAAGGGAAGGAGACTTTCATTTCCTTGAATCAAGATTAATCAGTATAAAGGCATTCATTTTCCTTGAGTTTAGGTGAACGTGCACTGTACGTTCACGGTGATTAGGAGTTCACCACAACCCTTTTTTTTTTTTGTCTCAACCCAGGTCCCCGCATCCTGTTTTCTGCATCAACGCAGGTCATCACATCCCGTTTTCTGTCTCAACCCAGGTCCTCGCATCCCGTTTTCTGTCTCAACCCAGGTCCCCGCATCCTGTTTTCTGTCTCAACGCAGGTCACCACATCCCTTTATGTCTCAACGCAGGTCACCACATCCCATTTTGTCTCAATGCAGGTCATCGCATCCCATTTCCTGTCTCAACGCAGGTCACCACATCCCGTTTTCCGTCTCAACTCAGGTCACCACACCTTTATTGTGTATCAGTGTCAGTGACCACTTCCGTGTTCTCTCCCGTGCAGGGACAGTGCCGGCCTCCCTGAGGGACCTGTACTCCCGCAGCAGTAGTATAACTACCTCGTCGTCACCTGCCGCTGCCTCGCCTCTCGACCTCACCCGCTACTCCCTGCCCTCCCTCAGGCAGTACGAACTGGCTCAACAGATGGTCTCCCAGCAGGGCGCGGTCAGCAAGCTCCTGGGTGAGTGATGTGTGGGTGGTGAGTAATGTGTGGGTGGTGAGTGATGTGTGGGTGGTGAGTGATGTGTGGGTGGTGAGTGATGTGTGGGTGGTAAGCAATGTATGGGTGGTAAGCGTTGTGTGGGTGGTGAGCAATGTGTGGGTGGTGAGTGATGTGTGGGTGGTGAGTGATGTGTGGGTGGTGAGTGATGTGTGGGTGGTGAGTGATGTGTGGGTGGTGAGTGATGTGTGGGTGGTGAGTGATGTGTGGATGGTGAGTGATGTGTGGGTGGTAAGCAATGTGTGGGTGGTAAGCAATGTGTGGGTGGTAAGCAATGTGTGGGTGGTGAGTGATGTGTGGGTGGTGAGTGATGTGTGGGTGGTGAGTGATGTGTGGGTGGTGAGTGATGTGTGGGTGGTGAGTGATGTGTGGGTGGTGAGTGATGTGTGGGTGGTGAGTGATGTGTGGGTGGTGAGTGATGTGTGGGTGAGTGATGTGTGAGTGGTTAGCGATGATGGTGGTGACTGGTGTGGGTGGTGAGTGGAATGTGTTGTGAGTGATGTGGATGATGAGTGACTAGTGACATCACTGGTTCAAACAAGTGACCAAACACACTGTCTTCCTTCACCAAACACTACCTTCCTTCACAAAATACACCCTCTTCCTCTACCATCCACACCTATTCCCTGTCTATCGTCACCCCTCTCTTCCCCCATCCACAACTCTCTTCCTTTCCCCTCCCTCTTAACAACACCTTCCTATTTCCTCTTCACCCTCCCCTCTCCTTTCCAGCCAACTACCCCGCCCATCCTCTTTCCCGTTTAATCACCCCTCCGCATCATGCCTCCCGTCTCACGCTATCCCATTCGATACAACAGTTACGTAAGTGACAAAATCAAGGGACAAAATAGCCAGCTTTTATTCCCACTATGTAACCATCGTTAAGAATACAGTAGCTGTACACTGCTTTTTCAAGTCTTGCTGCCCAAGTAACCACGCCCGTGTATCTGTCTCAGGGTCGCTACGACCGCCGGGTATGATCGGAGGTTCGAAGCCGAAAGTAGCCACTCCTCAGGTGGTAAACAAGATCGAGCAGTACAAGCGTGAGAACCCGACCATCTTCGCCTGGGAGATCCGAGAGAAACTCATCTCTGAGAGCGTGTGTACCAACTCCACCGCTCCTTCCGTCTCCTCCATTAACAGGATCCTCAGGTACGTGTCCCCCCTTGCCGTGTCCTCCATCAAGAACATCCTCGGGTACGTATCCCCTGCCGTGTCCCTCTGAAGGATTTCCGGGTATGTGTCGATGGCGTGTCCTAAAGGACTGCCAGGTACGTGATCACGCCCCGTGCCTTTCATCAACAGAATCTTTAAGTACGTGCCCCCTGCCGAGTCGTACTAAAAAATTGACAGGTACGCATTCAGTGGTTTGTCCTCTGTCAACAGAATCCTCAAGTACGTCCCCCTGCCTTGTCCTACTCAACAGTTGACAGGTACGTGTCCTCCGTCTACAGGATCCTCAGATACGTGTCCCCCTGGTGTGTCCTACTGAAAAATTGCTAGGTACGTGTCCAGTGTCTTGTCCTCCGTCAACAGCATCCTCATGTATGTCCCCCTGCCGTGTCCTACTGAAGAATTGCCAGGTACGTGTCCTCTGTCTACAGGATCCTCAGGTACGTGACCTCTGTCTACAGGATCCTCAGGTACGTGTCCTTTATCTACAGGATCCTCAGGTACGTGTCCCCCTGCCATGTCGTAATGAAAAATTGACAGGAACCTGTCAGTGTTGTCTCCTCCGTCAACAGGATCGTCATGCACCTGACTTCTGCCGTGTTCTATTGCTGCCTTTCCAGTTACATGTCCACTATGCCGTGTCTTACTAAGCTAAGCCTAATAATAATGGCATACCTATTTATTAATAGCAACATTGATATATGATCAAAACAGAGTTGTGTTTATAATTCCATAGATTCTAATTCCATAGGGGTTAATTTCATATAGGCTAAATCTATATAGGTTAATTCTATAAAGGCTAATGATATATAGGTTAATTCTATTCGGGATAATTTCATAGAGGCCACTATGTAACTATCGTACAGAATAAGGCTGATACACACTGCGGGTGATCCCACAGCGTAATTCACAGCACACTTCGGGTCTTCTCACTGAACGAGGCAGGCAGGCAGGCAGGCAGGCAGGCAGGCAGGCAGGCAGGCAGGCAGGCAGGCAGGCAGGCAGGCAGGCTGGCAGGCTGGCAGGCTGGCAGGCTGGCAGGCTGGCAGGCTGGCTGGCTGGCTGGCTGGCTGGCTGGCTGGCTGGCTGGCTGGCTGGCTGGCTGGCTGGCTGGCTGGCTGGCTGGCTGGCTGGCTGGCTGGCTGGCTGGCTGGCTGCTGGCTGGCTGCTGGCTGGCTGGCTGGCTGGCTGGCTGGCTGGCTGGCTGGCTGGCTGGCTGGCTGGCTGGCTGGCTGGCAGGCAGGCAGGCAGGCAGGCAGGCAGGCTGGCTCGCTCAAGGCCGCGACTCGAGTAGAAAAAAACTTTCGAAACTTACCAAAGATATAAAAAATTTGCCCGTTTCATACAGCTGGGTCACCGCACCTTGCGGGTCTTCCCACCGTGTAACTCATAGGGTATCCGCACACTGCTAATGATGCTAAATGCGTCAACTTGTAACTCGCACAGCTGACACCATATTTCCCTCCTGCAGGAACCGCGCGGCGGAGAGAGCAGCAGCAGACTTCGCTCGCGCCGCCGGCTACGGCCTCTACAACCCCTACGCCTTTCCCTGGGCTAACCCTGCCCTCCTATCCCCTCTAGCTGCCTCCCTACCCCTCCACGCCGCCGCTGCCGCAGAGCAGGCTGCTCACAACGCCGCCGTCAGCGCTGCTGCTGCCGCCAAGGACTCCCCGTCAGCCACCAGCAACCATTCTGACGGTGAAGGTGAGATCATAGGTATGGAGTACTCCAATGTGCAGCAGCTGGGTATCTTTGTTGACGAAACGTTTCGCCTACACAGTAGGCTTCTTCAGTCAAATACAAAGGGAGCAGTAGACGTGAAATAAAGATGATATAATCAGTCCATCAACCTTGGAGAATAAGTATTTGAAGTGGTCAGTCCCTCATCCTGGGGAAGAGCGCAGCTCCGTGGAGATGAACTCTCCTTCAAGCTGAGGGACTGATCACTTCAAAACTTATTTTTTTTAAGACTGATAGACTGATTACATTATCTTTATCATTTCCCTGCTTCTGCTGTCATCTGTGTATACAAGAAGGAAGCCCTACACTGCGGGTGTTCCCACCATGTTACTGTCATGAAGAATAGGGAAGCCAAACACTGCAGTGTTCCCACTATATTGCTATTATGAAGGATACGGAAACCTCACGCTGCAGTGTTACCACCATGTTGTTGTTATGAAGAACAGGGATTATTATAATCATGGGGGGGAGGCTAAACCCGTAGGAATATACAGCACCTGTTTGGGGGGGAATGGTAGGTATTCAGGTTCAATTCAGGGAACTGGAGTACAGACCCAATTCTCTAGATCAAGAGCCCCCTCACCAAGGAAGCCCCACACTAGTGTTCCCACCGTATTACTGTTATGAAGAATAGGGAAGCCCCACACTGCAGTGTTCCCATCATGTTACTATCATGAAGAATAGGGAAGCCCCACACTGCAGTGTTCCCATCATGTTACTATCATGAAGAATAGGGAAGCCCCACACTGCAGTGTTCCCACCGTATTACTGTTATGAAGAATAGGGAAGCCCCACACTGCAGTGTTCCCATCATGTTACTATCATGAAGAATAGGGAAGCCCCACACTGCAGTGTTCCCACCATGTTGCTATCATGAAAAATAGGGAAGCCCCACACTGCAGTGTTCCCACCATGTTACCATCACGAAGAACAGGGAAGTCCCACACTGCGGGTGTTCCCACCGTGAAAACATTCCCCCCAAAAAGGCAGCTGCACACTGCTGGTGTTTTCAATTCGGCTTTTATTTTTTTATCCCTGTCTGAATATTTACTGACCTATGCGTAAAATCTTACAGGATCGCCCTTGCACAAGCACTCACAAGCGTCATTAGCGCCCTCTGAGCTGGGTTCTCCGTCGCACCTGTCTAGCGAGGTCCGGTTCCGTCGCAACCGCACCACCTTCAGCTCAGACCAGCTCGAAGAGCTGGAGAAGGAGTTCGAGAAGACACACTACCCAGATCTGCCCACTAGAGAACGTCTGGCTGAGAAAACACTACTGTCTGAGGCAAGGGTCCAGGTGGGTGTGGTATGGTGTGTGTGCGTGTGTGTGCGTGTGTGTGCGTGTGTGTGCGTGTGTGTGTGTGTGTGTGTGTGTGTGTGTGTGTGTGTGTGTGTGTGTGTGTGTGTGTGTGTGTGTGTGTGTGTGTGTGTGTGTGGTTATATTCACAGGAGTTTACATAACAGTGAATACAATAATGTGTCAAGGATTATACATGCGAGGCCTGGTTCAGAACCTCTTGGGAAATGTTGGGCAGATGAAAGTAAACGTCTAGGCAACGGAAGACTGAATGTCAGATTAAAGGAAAGTAATATGGAAAAAGTGAATGTATTTAGATATTTGGGAACGGATGTGTCAGCAGATGCGTTTTTGAAGGAAAAGGTGATTAAAAGATGATTAATTTGACATGATGCTCGAGTTGTCACAGTTGCTCTTTGCTGATGATGCAGTATTTCTGGGAGACGTTTAAAAGTTGCAAAGGTTTGTGGAGGAGTTTGGAAGGTTGTGTAAAAGAGGAAATTTAAAGGGAATATGTCAAAGAAATAGAAAATGAGAGCAACAAAAAGTCAAGGCAATGAAACACTGGATATCAGATTGGGATTGAATATGTCGGTAGATGAGTCACTAAAAGATGAGGTGAACCAAAGAATAGACGAGGGGAGAAAAAAAGATAAAAGGAAATTGAGACACATGTTAAAAGAAAGAAGTTTTTGTATGGAGACAAAGAGGGTAATATTCCAGAGTATAATGGTATCAACACCTTTAAATGGGTGAGAGTCATGGGTTTTAAATGTTGCATCGAAGAGGCTGGAGGTAGTCGAGAACAGTGTGTGGTGCGAGCATTATGCAGAGAATTAGGAGCGTAGAAATCTGATTAGGGTATAGGGTTACGAGGGATATAAGGGCGGATGATGGGTTGAGTAAATTTGGTTATTTAGAAATGATACTGAAGACTAGAATTGACCAGTGTGGAAGGAAGAAGTGGTAGAAGTCACCTCAAGAAAGGCTGAAGGGAAGGAATGAAGGTTTTACGTGGTAAGAGACTGACCATCCATCAGGCTTGTGTATGGTGAATCAGACTGAGTGGAGACAAGTAGCTTTTAGGATATAATAGGTTGTTGGAGTGAGCAATGCAATGTTTATGAGGGGATTCAGATAAACTGGTTAGCCCGACTTGAGTCCTGAAAGAGGGAAGAACGGTGCGTGCACTCTGAAGGGTGAGCGGGATGCTTCAGTTCGGAAGGTCATTTGAACTGTAATGTCACTGCACTTCTGGCAAGACAGTTAATGAATGAATGACGATGAAAGTGTTTCTAATTTTGGCTGACCCTACCTTGTTGGGAGATGACCACTGTGTTAAAGAAAAAAAAGCTATATGCAAACCAGATGAGAAAAAGAAAGCAATTGGAGTGCTGAGAAATCTGAAAGCAAAGAAGTTGATCATGGGACACAAAATGTGAAATGTACCTGAGCATAGTGATGCCAACCCTTGTGTATAGGTGTGAGACATGGTTGTTGAAGGTTGCAGTGGGGAGAAGGCTGAAGATGTCATGTCTCAGATCAGTGCGTAGTGAAGATGTCATACAGGGGATAAAGTATGAGGAGATTAGCAAATACTCTGGAAGCATAAAAGATATAATTCAGGGAATGAAAGAGAACTTACTGAAATGGCTTTGACATTAAGAAAGATGGGACAAGAAAAGATAATCAAACTGGCACATAAATCTTGGGATGATAGAAGTGAGGAATGCCTAGTGTGGAAGCTCAGGACGAAATGTAGGTAGGTGCTCCAGCATCCAGCAGGCATGCATGAGCGTGTTTGATAAGAGTGGGGGTAAGTTCTTTTTCGGAGTGCGAGTTTGGTTCTATCTATACAGGTGTCCAGGTAAACAGATGGACTGGAGTTATGGAGGTGGGAAGTGTAACATGTGCACTTAGAAAGTTAGGTGGGAATGTGATGGATGTGGATCTCGCTACGTGAGATATTCTATCATGACAGTGAGCGTTGATAAATGATGTGATTGCTCTCAATAACCGTGCTTCTGCATGAAGCTGTCGCTGTGTTTAAAATAAAAAATAAGTCTGTATGTGTGTCCTCTCGTAGTTACGAGTGCTGGGGATTGATCAAGGGTTCCACAGATGCTACTCGTGTTTTCCACTGTTGTTGCAATATATATATATATATATATATTATATATATATATATATATATATATATATATATATATATATGACAAACTTTATTTAAATTCTTATTAATTTCTAATTTTCCCCCCTCAGTGTGTGATAAATAATCTTTAATACAGTTTACACTTTTAACCGAATCAATATAATATTGTGCATTACGATAAGATACTCTATTAGAGTCAACAGCTCAGGAAGATAGGAAATTTTTAAGAGCAACAAGTGATTTAATGACAGCAAGTGTTGCTAGTAACAGCAGGTGTTCTTACAGACTACAGATGTTCTTAGTAAGCCAGGGCACAAAGGGTTAAGATCAAACTGGATATCTGCCCGACGTAACCTCCCAGCCGGGGGTATAGCGTCTTGACGATGCTATGGCGTCGTGTATAGATAACGTAATATATATGGCCTAGTATCTTAATAGCAGTTAGCTAAATCAACACTCAAATCAAAATCATAATTTTATTCGCGACTATACAGTTTCATAATATTATTATAATTAAAATATATATACTCTTAGCAAAGAACACATCTAGGAGAGTGCAAACAGGAAGCTTGTCTGTCTCGCACTCGGCAGACAGAGGATCAAGCCTCCACCACGTTATGCGCTGAATGACCCACACGGGTTTAGAGCTTAACATGAATTATTGAAAAAAATATTTGCCAAGAATATGTAATAATGAACAGTTTTAAGTCAATCAGTTTTTAAAAAGGGGCAAAATAATTACTTAGGTATGTCATTACCAACTATGAGAGAACAGGTACTAGGTATATCATTACCATCTATGAGAGTACAGGTACTAGGTATGTCAGTACTATCTATGAGAAAACAGGTACTAGGTATGTCATTACCAACAATGAGAGAACAGGTACTAGGTATGTCATTGCTATGAGAGAACAGGTACTATGTATGTCATTACCAACTATGAAAGAACAGATACTAGGTATGTCATTATCAAGTATGAGAGAATAGGTACTAGGTATGTCATTACCAACTATGAGATAACAGGTACTAAGTATGTCATTATCAAGTATGAGAGAATAGGTACTAGGTATGTCTTTACCAACTATGAAAGAAAAGGTACTAGGTATGTCATTATTATCTATGAGAGAACAGGTACTAGGTATGTCATTACCAACTATGAGAGAACAAGTACTAGGTATGTCATTACCAACTATGAAAGAACAGGTACTAGGTATGTCATTACCAAATATGAGAGAATAGGTACTAGGTATGTCATTACCAACTATGAGAGAACAGGTACTAGGTATGTCGTTACCAACAATGAGAGAACAAGTACTAGGTATGTCATTGCTATGAGAGAACAAGCAATAGATATGTCATTACCAGCTATGGAGAACAGGTACTAGGTATGTCATTACCAGCTATGAGAGAACAGGTACTAGGTATGTCATTACTAACTGTGTGGTAAAGTTACATGTTCATCACTTACAACAATATAAAAACATCTGGTCCACCAAGATCTTTATCAACAGGACCGACAGAGATCCAGGGAACCAAACATTTCCTTAATAACTGTCCTAAGTGTTGCACATGTGTATGTTTACCTCAGAGTGTTTATTACTAAAGATAAATTTACATGTTTATTATGAGAATATACATACCTGTACATACGTTACGTTACTTACATATACGTTATGTTACTTGCCCATACATTGTTACCTACACATGCGTTATGTTACCTGTACATACGTTAGGCTAGAGCTCTCAAGGTAGAGTCATATGTCAGTGTGCACTGCAGATCAGGATCTTAAAAATATATACCTGGAGGGCGTTCCGGGGGTCAACGCCCCCGCGGCCCGATCCATGACCGGGTACGGAAAGCAGTAGAAAAGGGAGAAAATATTTGCGGTATTTTTTACCCTTTTATACGAATAATTGCAGTAATTTCTGTGGCACGTATGTTGTTTAAGATTTTAGGAAACCAAAATGGCGATAAAGGAGGGTAATGTATACTGAAGCTTTGATTCAGTGTCTAATGCTTATTTCTGCTTCGCCTCTCTGTTTTAAGCTACTGAAGACAGAATAAGGGTTGGGTAGTAAGATTAAGAGTCAATTGGTGAACATGTCGATGAGTGGAGCAATCTGCTAAGTAGTGTCATGCAAACTAAACCTTAGGTAGCTTTAAACTAGATAGACAAATATAAGAACGAGAAAAGTTGGATTTAAGAAGGCCCTTCCTAGAATGGGCCAATAGACCTGCTGCAGTGTGAAGTCATATGTTTTTATTAAAGTTTAAGTAGAAGGTGAATGTTCTGGTAGGGAGGTTAAGGGGTACGTAACTTCCCCCCGTCTTCTAATAACATGTTCATTTTTCCACTATAATCTACCTTGTCCATAATTACTATCGCATTTGCATTGTTTGTTTCGTAAGGTGAACAGAGGAAATGTGATAGTAATTATGGACAAGGTAGATTATAGTGGAAAAATGAACATGTTATTAGAAGACGGGGGAACTTATGTGCCTTTTAAGGCTCTGATAGGGAGGGTAAGGCTCTGGTACGGAGGTTAAGGCCCTGATAGGGAGGGTAAGGCTCTGGTAGTGTAGTTAAAGTTAGACTGTGAGGTTTACTGCTATGATAGTGAGGTTAGTGTAAGGTCTGGGTGGGTGTACGTGGCAGTAACTCTTCCCTGGTCCCTGACAGGTGTGGTTTTCCAACAGACGGGCGAAGTGGAGACGTCATCAGCAGCTGAGCGTCCTCCGCCCTTACTCCGACGACCCTCTGCCTCATTCTCCCAGGACGACCTCTCCTTACTCCGAGGCCCTCTCCAGCCCGGACATGCCACACTCTCCCTCTCCACCACCCCCACCGCCCTCCTCCACCATCACTACTCTCCCTACCACAGCTTCCACCACCACTACCACCGCAGCAGCAACAGCAGCTTCCAACACAGCAGAAGGTACCACCCGTGGCGTCCCGTTGGAGGGGCGGCCATCGCCACCCAGGGCGGCCTCGACCTCTCCTCTTCGACTACCTTCTCCCCATCGCCAACATCCGCCTTTACCCGTATCTGCCGCCGCCCTCAACCTCTGCACCCACCACCCCCACCACCACCACCCTCTCGCACACTTCCAGCAGAGCCCGCCCACGAACCCGAGCATCAGGATGACAAGCCGCCCACCTCCCCCGCCCCTGCTACCCGCCAGCCTGCTCTCACTGCCGCAGTACCCGGGCTTTACCCTCGGGCGTGACCTCACACTCACGCCCATTAACCTCTCTAACGCCCAAGCCCACGCCCGGGAGATGATGGCTGCACAAGCTAGAAGCTTCCTCAAGTCTGCCAGCCAAGCTGTTGGCTTCAGGAGCTGTCGAGGTGACGTCGATAGTGATATTGATGTTGACCTCGTGCATAAGAAACCCGAGGAAGAGGAAGAGGAGGAAGGGGATGAGGAGGAGGAGGACAAACAGGAAGAAGTTGAAGAAGCACAAGACCTCAGCGTCAAGAGAAGGAGAATAGATACAGACGAAGAGGACAAAGAAGAAAAGAAGGAAGAAGTTAAACAAGACACAGATAAAGACGAGAGCATGGATGCTGTTTAACTTAATCCAATCTGTACAGAAGCATCAGATATGTGAGTATGACGCACCAGGAACTAGTGCCATTTACAACCAAGGCTGGACCATACGTGCCTCACAGCCAGAGTGCCACAGACAAGCAAGGTTGGGTCACACGTGTGTCATAGTTAATGCCACAGACAACCAAGACTTAGCCACACTTGTCTTACAATTATAGTGCCACAGACACCAAGGCTGAGCCACACTTGTCTTACAATTATAGTACCGCAGACAACTAAGGCTGAGCCACACAGGTGTCACAACTAGAGTGCCACAGACAACCAAGGCTGAGCCACACAGGTGTCACAACTAGAGTGCCACAGACAACCAAGGCTGAGCCACACAGGTGTCACAACAATAACATTCCAGACACGTCCTGGTAATTCTCTTGGCTACTCCACCTACAAACACTTTAATCTTCCCAAAATCTTCAGTATGATTTTAGTTTTAATTTATTTTACATGATAAATATCCTCATACACACAGAAATAATTTCAACTTATGTCACAAATGCCGTAAGAATACTTAGAGTGAATTACATTTTCACACACACACACACACACACACACACACACACACACACACACACACACACACACACACACACACACACACACCAGTGTTGGAAGTTGTTGAGATGACATTCTAATTTTGATCTCGATGTGAGAACGGCTGGTAACCTTACTAGACAGCATCACTTTTAGCTACCACAGTGTGATGGATCACCGACTGGAGGTTCACCTCTAACGCTCAATATATCGTATAACACACTATAGTATGACACTATTAATGCCGGATAGCAACATTAATGACGGTAACAACAGAGGGAAGGTCGTTCCTCTCGCTGTTGGACTTTTCCATTCTTGTACTGATACTCACCTCGCAGACTTCAAATAATGAGACTGTGAATAGTCAATCGACCATTTCTTCAGATACTCATAGGACGGTTACAACCCGATCTTTTCATCCATTCTTAACACCTTCATCATTCATGAAATCTCTGCCTAACCTGTATTACCTTCACCTAGATACCTGCTGGGTTCCTATTTACCATATATATGGGACAAGCTCTCTCGCATTTTAATTAGGTATTGCTGAGATATATAGGTTAGTGATGAAAGTGGAGTATTAAGAATAATAGAGGTAAACACAAGGAATTAAGAATAGCAATATTTACTATATATAAATAAAAGAATACAAATTTTAGTTCAAATCTTTGCATTCCAGTTAGTCTATTATTAAATGTATAGTGACAAAGTTGGTAATATCACAAGAGTGGGCGGGGATGATACGAAGCAATGTTAAGATAATGTATTCATAGGACATAGGTAATACTGCATGGATGTTCTTGGAGACACACACATACATACACACACACACACACACACACACACACACACACACACACACTTGTAATCTACACCCACCAAATCAACCTAGTGAGGCCCTCACCTCTAACTCTAGGTTAACATCTACTAGCTATTATACCGCCCCCCCCAATATTCTATATTTATGACCAAGGCGGAAATTAGGATTAATTGGTCTCCATATTATGTTCACAGAGGCTGGAGTTCTCTGACAGAGCTACAGGATGTGGGGAATAGCACTAAATTCCAACCTTCACAAGCAGAAACTGGAATTACAAACATGACAGAGACAACAGACACAAGATATCACATCTTCTCTTCTCCCACTTTTAAAATAGCTGGGAATTAGGAAAATCTAAAATAAGTTCCCAGACTATTTTATTCTAACTCTTAAATCTATCTCAAAACTTACAGTATATACAAACATAACACATTACATCACGATAATCATTTCCATTTCTAGTACCCAAATTCATGCACAGTTTCAGACTGGTATACCTCCCACTAACATTCCTAGAGAGTTCCATCCTAGGTGGCCTAGGCTCCACAGTCAATCCAGCCTAGGTGCTCGATTGAACTAACAACCTCCCTAGGGCACTTCATTCTTTCTATATCTCTTGTTCAATCCCCGGTCACTCTCACAATTCACAGAATACTCACAGAGTACTCAAAAAAACCTCCTAGCCTCTCAGCTTCTCATAACACAAAGCTCTGTTCTCACATTGATTTTCACAACGAGTGTAACTGAGTTTAGCAGTGAATTTAGCAGCGAGTTCTTGATCAATACATTACCTAACGAATAACAATGCCTTCGTAGTGTTGTGTTAATTAAATAAAATTATTTACATTGAAGCTCAAGGATTCTCAGTCTTATTCAGTGATTCACAGTGATTAGCAGTGATTTGAAAATATATACCACGATCTGCAGTGATTTACAAAATTATAGTAATTTACAAGGGCTACTATTATTTTTAAATTATTCACATTAATTTATAATGGTAACATATTTACAATACGTTTTGTCTCTTCCAGTGATTCTCAGTGATCAAAAGAGAGTCACTTGTCTCTAAGTCT